CCCCCAGCCCCCCCCCCCCGGCGGCGGCCCCCCCCCAGCCAGTAACAGCACGGGGAGAGGCTGTTGGTGCCGGCCGTGTAGAGGCAATGCTCTAGCAGCTGGGCTGTGTTGTGGGGAATGGAGCTACCTTGGAGGGAGGTGTCTCCAGAAGGGGAGAGGATCATGAACCTTCCCTGGCTGGTCGGAAGGTGCTGGGTTACCCAAGATCTTTGGAGGGGTATCACAAGGAGGAAGAGCAGCACTATGGACAAGTGGCAGGTCACAGAATAGGGGCCCCAAAGGTTCAGCTGGGATCCCCTCCCCATTGCTATGAGCCAGACAGTTTGCACACATGGGTCTCTGCCACCGGCCTGCATTTCCACATCTCTGCTGCTTTACCCGCTGCCTAAGGGGGAAGGGACCGGAGAGGCAGATCTGCGGGAGCATGAGCCAGAGCTAACGTGCCAGGAGACCCGTGGGCACAGCCAGGTACCTTCGGGGAACACTCCTGATTCTCGGCTGCTTGGTTTGCACAACGAGCCAGGCTTAACCCGCTAGTCCTGTGGCAGCAGCTGCTTTTGCACTGAGCGCTCTGCAGGCACAGCTCCCCATTGTCCTGAAAGGAAAGCACAACGAGAGCAGATGCATGGATTCCAGGTCTGCACCTCTTCCTACCACGGGCTGGGAGCGCCGCACGCATGCCGGGCCCCGCCTGGGGGGGAGCCTCGGCAGGTGGGAACGTGAGTCCCACTTGGAATTAAATGACTCTGGAAGAAATGGCTCTAGCGAGGTGGTTTCTTATGAGTGTATCTCAGTGTCGCACATTTATGGGCATGCACACCTGACGTGGAATTGTCAGGACATCCCCCCCTCCGGCCTAAGGGAAGTTTTATTTTCATCCCATTCGCTCTCTAGCCCAAATCCTGCAGTTTTGCTCCAAGTCTGGCTCCAGTAAGACTCCTAGGCTACATCTACACTGCAAGCTTCTTGCACAAGAACTGTTTTGCACAAGAGTTTCTGTGCAAAAATTATTGCACAAGAGCGCGTCCACACTGCCATGTGTTTTTGTGCAAGTACGTCCGTGGCAGTGTGGATGCTCTCTTGTGCAAGACAGCTCTGATGGCTAGGGGTTTCTTGCACAAGAGACTCCTATTGCCCGTCCACACTGCCCTCTCACGCAAAAACTTTTGTGCAAGAGGGCTTATTCCTTGTGGGGAGAGGAATAACCCTTGCTCAAGGAGCCCTCTTTTCCAACGCTTTACTGTAAATGTACTTGTGCAAGAACACGCGTGCAGTGTAGACGCTCCACAAGTTTTTGCACAAGAACAGCCGTTCTTGCACAAAAAGCCTGCAGTGTAGACGTAGCCCCAGTGAGGTCAGTGAGTGTATGCCCTGAATAAATCACAAGCAGGGATAGCAGACTCACTTCCTATAAGTGAGGTCACTGTGCATGCTTGTGTAACACCAACAAGCAGAACCCAACCTGGGCCCTCTGGAGCTAAGGGCCCAAGCTGCTACTACTTGAGCTAACAGCCAGCGGGCTCTGACCTAAGGCTGAAGAGCAGAGTCACTATTCTCACTAGGAATTCACTCTCTATGGGAAAGTGAACCACACCCAATAGGTGTGTAGTTGACACTTGCACGCACACACTCCAAGTCCGCCATTGCCAGCTAAGGGTAAAATGCCATTTCACAGCTGGGATGTGACTAGCCCACGCATGTCCCAGTCCAGCGTCCTAGTCTGAAAACCTGACATTTCCCACTGAATTCCACAAAGGGCTTCCCGTTCCGACTGGTGACATCACCTTTTGTCACAGTCCCAAAGAATTGGTTGTGGGTGAGACACGGTGTGGCAAGTCCTGGACTGGGACACCAGAAACTTTTGTTCTTGGCTCTGCCATAAGCTTCCCTGTTGGCCATGACACATACTAATTGCTTGATTTCCAGAGATGCTGAGATCCTGCCCCTCACCTTGGCTTCAAAGGGAGACAGCATTGCCTGACACCACTGCAAATCAGGTGGTCAACTGTGCCTCAGTTTTCCCATATGTAAAATGGGGAAAATGAGACCTCCTTGTCCTTTGGGAGGGCAGTGAGAATTAATCCATTGGGGTTGGGGGTCATTCCCATACGAGCATGGGGAGAGGTCACAGAAACCTCCATGAAATAATTTGAAATCAAGCACCAAGGTGCCTTTGAAACCCTCTCTCCTCTACCACAGGAAATTCCCAAAGAAGCTGACTGCACATCAAAAGGAAGTAGGGGGGATTTTGCACTACAGCCTGCAAGTCCACCGAGCAGCTACTTCCCTTCTGTGCCCTTCCCACCTCTACTTACCAAATTGAAGATAAGGCCTCCCTGGGCTGAGGCAAGGATGAGCAAGAGCAGAAGGAGCAGGGGGCTTGCCATCTCGCCGTGGGGCAGCCAAGATCCCAGCTGGGGCTTTCAGGGCAGGAACAGACGCAGCAGTGTTTATAGCAGAGCTATAAAGCAGGTCTGCCATCACGTCACCAGCCCTCTCCCAATCACAGATGTACAACACTCTCTGTAGATAAGGCCGGACCAGACCAGGAATTCTGTCCGGGTCTGAAATATTGGAGGCAGAAGATAGAAGGGAAGAATGAAGAGTAACAAAGAAAGGCCCCAATCCTGTAGTTCTTCCACAGGTAGCTGCAATCCGAATTCACTCACCCCCATCTCCACATACGCCTCCTGGTACAATGGCTTTTTAGAGCCTGTTCCTGAAGTCCTTCCTTAGGCTCAAGGCCCACTAATGGTTAATGGGAGTATTGCCCGAGGGAGGAGTGCAAGAATGATCAGAGCATTTCTCTGCTGGGCTCTGCCTCAAGGTCCCTGCACCGTTGAGAAGCACTCGACTTGTTCTGATCACTCAAGGGCAGTAGAGTGTATTTCCTGCACCTGCTTCTCCCTCCCAGGCTGTGTCAGCAAGATCATGAAAAACCCAAAGTGGAGAATGATTTCACCCTGTTGGGCTCTGATGGAGTCAGCATGGCTCTGTCTGGGAGCTGTGCATGCAAAGAACCCTGGAAAATCATGGCCCTGAACCCCAGCTGTCAGTACAGACAACAAGCAGCCCCATGAAAGCCCATTTTGGCCTACGAACAAAGGGAATTAAGAGAAACATTTTGCTAGGGAATTAAATAGCCTTTTTCTAGCCTAAACTTGCCATTGCAATGATTTTTGTCTGAATTTGATCAAGGACCTTCTGCTGTAGCCATGATCCAAACAGCAGACTAGTTGAGGAAAACTTGACAACACTTTCCTGTGACCGGGGCGGCCCGTGAGCCTAGGTGAGCTAGGCAGCTGTCTAGGGCACCTCTGGCCCGGGCGCACGATGATGACATCACAGGATACCGGGGTGCCCCGTGATGACATCACAACCATGCAGGCAGGGGCGCCGATTGCACTGCCCCGCTTAGGGTGCCAGCTGCTGCAGCCGGCCTTGGGCTGCTCCTGCCTGTGACAGGGGAAATAGTTTGTGACCAGAATCAGAAGCTGCTCATATCTTCATCAAACAGATTTTACAGCTTTTTTTTTTCAGAGAAGGTCTGATTTTCCAGGATTGACACCCAGGCCTACAAACTGCAGACTTTCTAGGGAGCCATGCGTTTGGTTCAGCTCTTGATCAATAGATGGAGTTTGCACCCAGAGCTCAGCTGAGTATCCACCTCCGCGTATTTTCATTTTTAGGGTGTTCCAGAGGCAGCATTCCATTTTCCACTTTCATACTCACTGGCAAGAAAGAAGCCAAGTGAGCTAAGCAAATATGCACATGAGCGATTAAGCCATGCCTGCTGGACAGCATGAAGAAATAGGAAAAGGGCCCACATGAGCGAGAGGGATCTGGGGCTCTCTGGTCCAGCAACATCTGTAATCTGGACCAGAAAGGAAGTGGGGGGCGGGCTACTGGGATTCTGGGAGCTAGCAGTCGGGGCCAGGGCTGGTGGCCAGTGGATGGGCCAGACTAAGGAGCACAGTCAGTAGCTAGGGCTAGTGGCAGGGACTGGGGGCCAATGGCAGGTATGGGGAGTACAGCTTGCAGCTGGGTCCAGGGCCGGCAGCAGGGTTGGGAGCGCCCTTGGGAGGGGAGTCCAGGGGCGGGGAGGCTGGCAGCCCCCCGACAGCACGGGGCCAGGACTGACCTCCCCATGTCTTGCAAACTCCCTTGTTCAGGACCCGAGGGTGCTGGATCTGGGAGGTCCAGCCTGTAGCACAAATAGAACCCAAAGGGCTTATCAAAAAAGAGACAATTTAACATCACAGAATGGTTCCCAGGTGTTACCGTTGCTACCCACTGAGTCCTCTTCGGCGAGGCAGGAGTGGTGTCTAGGGCAGGGGTAGGCCATAAGCAGCTTACGAGCCAGACGCGGCTCATTAGGGTTATTTACCTGGGAACTGCTTCTGTTGGCTGCGGTTTGCCCTTCCTATAAGGGTTGCATAGAGCTGTGTCCTGGCTGCACTACTTCCCGCAGCTCCCATTGGCTGAGAGTGGCAAACCGTGGCCAATGGGCGAGCAGCCATATCTGTGGACATGCAGGTAAATAAAGTGCCTGGTGGTCCTCCAGCATCTAGCCTTGGGGAACCACGTCTGGCCTGCAGGCCGTTTATCGCCCACCCGTGGATGGTCTAATGGGTGGATACACTGGAAGTTATT